CGAGATTTGGGAGCTTTTCATAGATCTTCTTAAAGTTGAAGAGTGGCTTAAGGGCAGAAGGTTGATCTCCAGGTTCAACTGGTTGTATGCTTGCTTCTTCATATGGTTGTGGAAGAAGCTCTTCTTGTGTTGCCTCTGGTAATGGTTCGAAAGGTTCAACTGCCTTGTCATCTGAGGTCGCTTCTTGTGCTTCGTCATGTCTTTTCCTGTCGGCTCTGCTCATTGCTGGGTATGCGCCGAAGATGCAAACAAGCCAGTCCTCATCGAAGTCTATTGGTTCGTGAATTTGACCATGACTCATCTCTCGTAGATCTTCTTCTGGTAGCATCCTCCATTGTGAGATGGTGCCACGAATCATGATGCGCACAAAGGATGAGTCGGCTCGAAGCTTTGGTGTAGGTGATGGCTTTGTCCATGGTTTGATCAAAGCACAAATGCCTGAGATCTTGATGTGTCTCTCTAAGATCTTTCTCATCCATGCCAGTACAATGGGATCTGTGACCCAGTGTATGTAGTCGTGTGACTTGTTGTTTTCATCATCAAACTCTTCCATGCTGTACTTGAGGATCTGGAGGAGGCAGTACTTCAAGAGAGACATTTCTTCTGTATTCAAATCGATTTCCCCATTGGTGGCCAGAGTCCCTTCATTGACCTTCTTCGAAGTGATGGCTTCTTGACGAAATTGCTCGAACAGATCATTCTTTCTTTGTTCTTCTTTCTTGGTCTTCTGGAACTCCTTGGAGCGCTCATCTTCCTTGGGATATCTGCCATAGCGACAATCTCCAGGAAGATAGGTGTGTTCCATGAATCGAGGGGCATATCTGCCGAGCTGGCAACGTTCGCAGCCATAGAGGATGTCGTGCTTGTAGCTGATCATCTTCTTGATGTCTTTGATGATGGCGCGACACAACTTTTCTGGATAGACGGCTGCAATGGTTGTCCTGTTCTTGCCATTCACTTGTCCCTGTAGCCATCCATGGGGTTGTGAGTGACCTCCCGCATCGTCTGATGCATTGAGAAAGAGATCCATTGCACCAGTCTCAACGAGTTGATGACAACCGGCATTGTGCGTTTCTACAATGTGCAAGGACACTCCATTCTTGCACGACGGCTTCCTCCAATAGAAGAGATCACAGAGACACAACTGGAAATGCCAGATCAAGAGCTGCTGAGTGCTTTTTTCATGTGTTACATGGACCTTCCACCGTTCATCTTTGTTTGCCTTCCTGTGTATGACCTCCTTGTTTCAGAGCACTATGGCATCAACCACGGAAGTCAAGCAGAGTGAAATGGAAAGTGGAAAGGATTTTTCGGCCTTCTATGTTTTGATGCTCACCACAGCAGCAGTCGCAATTATGACATGGATCCTGATCACCTACCTGTTCAGGAAACTTTGGCAAGGAGCAGAGCAGCAAAAGCGCGCTCACTCAGACACCTTTGACCAGATGACCCAAACAGACATGCCATTCCTGGAAAGAACTTTCGGCACCTTAGAACGAAGATGCCATGATCTGGAAACCATGCTGAAGCAGAAGGATCGCGAAGTCCGAGACCTGAGAAAGCAACTAGACCAATGGCCGCGCGAGCACGAAGTGTCTGTGCTGCGAGAGAAGATTTTAGATCATAGAAGACGCTGTCCGCTCGATAGTTCCGTGTACATCACAGAACATGGTGATTGTTTCCACACAAGTGACTAGTGCAGAGTGCTCGAGGCTGAAGATCGCAAAGCGGTCATACGAAAAGCGAGCATGCCAATACTGCGCTTCTGTAACCATTTGAGGAACAACACCAGAGGACTCAAGAGCGGAATGAACTTTTCCACTCGTACAGATCCCACAGGTTTCGTATCACTTCGACTAACGCAGGTGCACCTTCTAGCTCAAAAGTCCCGCTTGCTACCAAGTGAAGGAAAAGCGGACTCTAGTGGAAGCACAAGTGCTGGACAAGCCTCCAATGCCCAGAGATCTGTTGTGATCGATTCCTTGTGGCCCGGTGACTTGGTTGAGCCGGAAACTGGGTGGCCAACTCTGGACATGCAAAAAACATGAATCAAGAAATCTAAAATGGAAGAAGACTGCAAAAGCATGCCTTGGCGTGTTGGCCGCAATCCAAAACCAAGAACGAAGAACAAGTTGTCAAAAGGTTGAACCACTGTGAAGGTGCTTCTTCCTGAATCTGAGTTCACACGTTCAAGCTAGAAATTTCAGGTCGTCAATTTGTTTAGTTCGTTGGAGTGAGCAGCCATTGTGCAGCCCAAACTTGAACACTAGCAACATATGACACCAGCAAACAAAAATGTGATTGTGTTGTTTTTTTGTTGCGATGTGGGTGTCCTTATGCATTTGCAGTATTTGGCTGTGTGTGTGTGTTTCAAACAACGAAATTCCATTTGGTCGTTTGGCCACCAAATGTTCCAGCTCCTGTTTGGAAGCACAGCCACACAGCTCTGATAGAGCATCAAGTGCAAGGCCACAGCTGTGACACTGAGGTCCGCTGCCCTTGATGTTCAATATGCCTGTGAAGGCTGAGGGTGATGGTGTCTACGCTGATGGCATCAAGACGCTGGGCCACTTGAGAGGTTTGTGGTCGGGGGAGATGCCACAAGACTGTGATGACATCATTCCCAACATGTTGTTCCTTAGGTCGAAAGGAAACTGAATGCAATACTAGGGCATTCCCCAAAACTGGCTCAACGCAGTCCAATGCATGAATGCACACCGTAAACGAAAAACACTGCAGCATGTAATAAGGTTTGTGTCAACTCAACAAAATTTCGGCACCAACTTTGCGGAGTACCCCATGTTCCATTCCATGTTTGCCTGGTCTCTAGCCAACTCTACCCGGTCACACCTGGACAGAAAACAGAAGGAATCTTGGACTGTGAAATACAATGTGAAGGGTGCTTTGAATTCCTGTGGTAGGAAATATTAGATCGAAACGTCAAGAGTCAAGAGACAAATAGATAACAGCAGCAAAACCACAATATTGCACTCCACACAGGCCCCTCATATCATTTTGGATAAGAAGGCTCACCAGGCATACCTATTCGGTGGGGTTCTCTGAAACTGCCAACCGATCCCCAAATAGAACATGAATAGGGCTACACCAACACTGCAATGTGATGGGGATCAGGGGGCAACTCCAGAATGCAAAAAAAAGAAGGTTGCGACATGTTTTTGGCCTCCCTCTCACTAGCTGTTAACTGTTAAACGGTTGAGGGCGTCCACTTCACCGTTGTCCTCTAGACTGAGTCAACCAACGGATGGGGTACATAGATCGAAGAACAGAACTCACCAAGGGCCCACAAGAGTCAGGACCGTAGTGAAAGCATAATTAGCAGAGACCCGAATATAATAGGATCAGTCAAACAAACCCCAACGAGACTTTGTAGGAGTAGATCTGTAGGCCACGCACTGTGAGAGCAGAAGTGACCATAACAGGAAGTGACATATGGCTCCATAATACTTTATGAAAAGAACCCTTTGGAACCAACCACTTCACTGGCGAGTCATCATGCTTTTGGTCCCGAAAGATAATATACATATATATATATACAATATAGAAGCCAAGTACGCTTTATATAATGGGCTGCAATGCTTGCTCATAGACCGATAAATCTTTTTCAGAGCTATCTCCAGTAAACTTGCCCTCAGAGTCACTGCGTTCCAGGGTTCAAAGCAAAAAGTTGAGAACAGAGCACAGCAAATAGTAGTTGTGATGAGCTCCACTTTTAGAGTTCTAGGCCAGACAGTTGTGATCAGAGCACACTGCAAACTAGGATCCAAACACTCAGAATGAAAGTTCCAAAAGGAGTTTCAACGAAACCATTTACTAGTTTTCAATATGTTTCAATGACTTTATCGTTTAAGGGAATGTTGCAACATTGCAATTCTTTGCGGTTCAGGCGGAAATGTTGCAATCCTCAACGGCCTGCACTCCGTCCCACTTCACCCCAGGTTGTGCAATCTCTGCTTTACCGGAATCTGTATGTATATATATATATATATTGCCAGGCATTTCTCATCTTATTAATGTCTAAAACGGGTGAAATGATTGACATTGGAGAGTTAAACGAGCTAGTTACTATGAAGAATGCAGTGTTTGTGTCGCGTTGTTTTTTTTAACTTCCTACTGCGCAGTGACCTTTGTACCACTCGCATTCTTGTCATGTTTGCATATTTGCTTGCTTAAGTGTTGCACAGCTACCACTCATCCAGTGGTCGGTTGTACACAGCGCACAGCATTCGAGGATTCTTTACACCTCATGTAAACGTATGAAAGCCAAATGGCCACTGCTGCTGAGCCCGGGGGAGTTCTCCCCACACAGGGACGTGCAAAAGCGGTCTCAAACATACAAATACCAGTTGTGTGTGGGCATGCGCGCGCGAAGAATTCACATGTTTTGCTATGTGAATCTAGTTGATGAAGGGCTTATACTCAGGAATTCTTCAATTCTTATAACTTTAGTCGTCTTGCGCAATGTCAGGATCACACAAGCGAACAAACTTTGGATGTACTATGACAACATTTTGCACCTCAGATTGTATGGAGAGCTGACTTAAAAATACTGGTGGTCTCATTGGTTCCTGCATGTAAACTGCAAGGGTAAGTGAGTTGTTGTGCATGTTTGCTGCATGTTCTTGAGTACCTCAGGGAGCTTGGCAATGGAAAACCCTTCATGGATTCCTTGAGTTCATGTTCTTCCGAGGTTGTTGGTGGTTCTGATGCCTGCTGGCTTCGTTTGGTTGCTTTTCTGCAAGAGCAAGCTGCACGTAGCTCAAAGGACCAAGGATCAAGGTCTGCCGGCCTGCCGGCATCAACGCACTTGAACCTTATCAGGTTCTTGAACCGCGTGCCCAAGTGAGATGCAATTTGTACATACTTTAGATCTTTTTGCGCCAAAGGGCTCCAAGCTCGAAGCAAAAGGAACACAATGTATCGTTATTACAGAATTCTGCGCAAAAGATCCAGCAAGTGCCGTGTTTTTGCAGCTTGTACAGGCAGATGATGACATGTTGAGCCTGACGCCGGCTATGGCAGTCCCAGGTGTTCGATAATGGACACGTGTCTCGCTGTGCTTAGCTGGAAACTCTTCTCGAACAGGATTTTCAACTATCCCAGCTGGTGAGCAACTTGCAGAAGTGCTAGCACAGGCAATTCGCACACCTCTCATTGGGTGCGACGTCATTCGCTGGTATACATATGTTCTTTGTGCCAGGATGCAAGCACTGCAAACACAGAGCTTCTCTCCAGTGGAGATCCAGTGAAGGTGGCCAGAATCCAAGAACCACAAGAAATTCAAGCCATCATCCAATCAGATGGAAACATGAGTGGGAGTTGTTGAGTTCCCTATCATCAGGTGCTTAGACATTTGGAAATGGCAGAGCACCGACATATTTTGCAGGCTTGGCTTTCACGCAGCAGTTACAGGGCCTTAGGATGTTTGAGATGCCATGGCACGCTGCAGTGCGTTCTTTTCGCCAGGCAGCAGTAGTTCTTTTTCAGCGACTTTGCGAAAGTGAACCTTTGCCAAAAGCCAAGTTTGCAAAGCAAGTTTCTATTATCCTGGCTTTGTTCGTTTGCCTGAAGACAAGGGCTTGCGCAAGACACACTAAGCAACTTTCTTTCAGAATAAAATCAAATCTCACTGAGGCCAGAGCTTCAGAAGCTAGTGAGTCTTGTTCTGATCCTTGGAGCGCACAAGTTCTTCTGCATCTTAGCACGTGAAGCTGAGGTCAGAGAAGTTCTTTTGCCCACTCTTATGATGTTTGAGAGCCATTTATCCACCCGTCGTGCGTTCCAGGCCTGGGCCAGGGAGTCTTTTTTGAAACATCACAAGGAGAACGGTGCTTGAAGGCAGCGAGCACTTTGACACCACTACTCAACCGGGCAGCTACCCTGGCAGCACAATCTTGCTCCCTTGCAATACGAGGCCACAATTGTTTGGCAGAAGACTCTACTTTGTCTACAAAACAGCGCCCAAGGGCATTCCTTGTCTACCCGCTCTCCTTGCGTTTGGCATTTTGCAGGGCCATGGAGCCCTAATGTCCTGCACCCTTTCTGCGAAGCTGTCTCAGACTTGGCAGAGGCGCGCAGAAGCAAGCTCGCAACAGACTTTGTCGGTAGGTGTTTGTTGTCCTGGGACAGGTTGGATTACAGCAGATACAATTGAGTTTGTTCTTTTCTTTTGGCGTGTTGAAGTTGTGTTTGCTGAGCATGCTCAAGGTTGTGAGTTTGTGTGTGTGTGTGTTAAACCCTGTTCCAAAGGGTACCTTTCTCACACACTTGCACGATAGTTAGCGTGCACGGGGTAGCAGCAGATCACTTATGACCGCTACCAACAAAGACGCCCATCTGATCTGGCCATATCAGACTTGGCCACTCCGACCTACCTGCTTTTTGGCTTTCATGGAACCTTGAACCTACGTAAGATCAAACGCTGTCTCTTTCGGTGTTTCGCAGAAAAGGGCTAAACGCAGTAAAAGGCTAATGCATGAACGAACACTGAATATATGCTCACATGAGTTCTCTTCCAAGTGTGATATCGCAGCATCTTCCAATCGCGGTGTGCTGTGCGCCCACTTCTTGGTGCTGATGTGACATGTGACTGTCATACACGTCCACAGGATTAAGCAAATTGCAGAATGCAGCTCCCCCCCCTGGGGGGAGGGAGGCAAGGCAACATAGCGACCTTCTCGCGAAGAGAGAACAAGACAGCAGAACTTCAGAAAGAAAAGGAGTTCGAAGTTTTTCCCAAAACAGTGTGGGCACACTGAGGGGTTCTTACGGTAAGTGAAAGGAAGCTGATGCTTAGATCGCTGAAGCACGCGGCTGAACGGCTAATTCGTTGCTATTTACAGTACATTCATGCCTCTCGACATCGTCCATGTGCACTTCGACTGCGCAGGCTCGCGAAATCTGCCTGCCCGCGGCGGGTGCTTCAGGCGACTGCGCTCTCGTTGTGGTGCCGTGCGCATTTTCGCACATGGTGGTCACTTTTCGTGGCAGGCGCAAGGGAAACCTCGTGTTTTGGTGCTCCAAAGTCGACTTTTCGTGACAGGTGCAAGGAGGGATCGGAGCTGTTTTACTTCGAAACGCAGTTTTCGTGGCAGGCGCAGCACTTTGGACATGGTGGTGATCGTCCTGGAGCTCAGATTTCGTGACAGGTGCAGTGAATCGTGACTTTTGGACATGTGGCTCGTTTGAACTCGAAGTGCAGATTTCGCGGCAGGTGCAGGTGCAGCACTTGGTGAACCTCGAAGTGCAGATTTCGTGGCAGTTGCAGCACTTGGTGAACCTCGAAGTGCAGATTTCGTGGCAGGTGCAGCACTTGGTGAACCTCGAAGTGCAGATTTCGTGTCAGGTGCAGCACTTGGTGAACCTCGAAGTGTGTCAGGTGCAGCACTTGGTGAACCTCGAAGTACAGATTTCGTGGCAGGTGCAGCAGTTGGTGAACCTCGAAGTGCAGATTTCGTGGCAGGCGCAGCACTTGGTGAACCTCGAAGTTCGGATTCCATGGCAGGTGCAGCGCTTGGTGAACCTCGAAGTGCAGATTTCGTGGCCTGTGCAGCATTTGGTGAACCTTGAAGTGCACATTTCGTGGCAGGCGCAGCACTTTGTGAACCTCGAAGTGCAGATTTCGTGGCAGGCACAGCGCATGGTGAACCTCGAAGTGCAGATTTCGTGGCAGGCATAGCGCTTGGTGAACCTCTCCTGTACTTTGTGCTCTCAGATCCTCACTCTCTCACTCTCCCACTCTCACCCTTCCACTTTCACTCACACTCACACTCCCTCACACTCCCACTCTCTCTCTCTCTCCCACTCTCACTCTCACTCGCACTCACTCTCACTCACAATCATTCTCATCCACACTCACTCCCACTCACACTCAGTCTCGCTCACACTCACACTCCCTCACACACTCACTCACTCTTCCACTCCCACTCACACTCACACTCCTCACTCCCACTCGCGCACTCTCACTCACTCTCACTCACGCTCGCACTCACACTCACACAAACACTCACTCACCCACACTCACTCCCACTCTCACACTCGCACTCACTCACTCTCACCCAGACTCACTCGCACCCACCTTCACTCTCACTCACACTCACCCACACTCACACTCACTCTCATTTACTCACTCTCACTCTTCGCACTCTCATACTCACACTCACTCTCACTCTCACTCGCACTCACTCTCACCCACACTCACTCTCACTCAGGCTCGCGCTCACACACACTCACTCTCCCACTCTCAGTCGCACACACTCACTCTCACCCACACTCACTAACACCCACCTTCACTCTCACTCGCGCTCACTCACACTCACACTCACTCTCACTCTGACTCACACTCGCACCCACTCTCACTCTCACTCACACACACTCTCACTCTCACCCACACTCACTGACACCCACCTTCACTCTTACACTCACACTCGCACTCACTCTCACTCTCACTCTCACCCACGCTCACTCTCACTCACACTCGCACTCACTCTCCCACTCTCACTCACACTCACACTCCCTCTCACCCACACTCACTCACACCCACCTTCATCACCTCTCTGGACCCCAATGCGTCTAGATCTTTAGACTTTCTGCTTACAGACCTCACACACACCGTTTGGGGTCTCTCGCCGGGATAATTTATGGTTTTGGTTTGAAGGTTTGTCGTAACCCTGGGCACTGGGCCATGCCCGACCAACAGGTAATGCAAGACGAAACTTCTAGTTCCTTACCTCACCACACGCTCCATCGTCGGAAGCTGTTCACAGGTGACATATTTTTTTGTCGTGAAAAAGGCATTTTTTGTCATGGAACCTGGGCTCCTAAACATGTAGCTCTTGGGTGGTATACATAGCTGGATCAATTACTTATATACATAGGAGTATACATAGGTCTCTTAAAGCATCCTATCCCGCAAGTAGTGCGATCCTGATCCCCTCCACAAAGTGCATGTCAACCTTTTATGAAAACAAGTTCTCTCCCAGAGAAACATTTTGCCATCTAATCATCTCAAATATCCATCTAAATACAATAAATATAACTTACGTCCAGTCTGGGTGTTGCGGAAAGCTGTAACACCAAAGCTTGCACGAGCAGACTTGTATGCGCACAACTGTTGGAGACGAGCCACCTGGTCCCAGTTCACTGCGCTGAAGACACCGCGCGCGAAGAAACCTCGAGGACTGGTGGGGCGTGGGTAGCCTCCCAACAAGGCGATACACCTGCTTGCGAATGGCCTCCTTCAGAGCTGCAGGCAAGGGTCGACCCCAACCACTCGCATCGTCTCCAAGAGCTCGGCCAGCGGATCTCCTTTCCGAAAGCGGTGAGAGCCTCTGAACAAGATGACCTGTTTCACAAAGGCGCGAAAGACTGCAAGTCCATGTTCATCGATGTCGACTTTCTTCCTGCGCTGTTTTGGTCGTCCATCTTCTCGTATCTCATCAACAAACGCCTGTGAAAGCCGCCACCACTTGCGCTGCAAAGCCTCCTTCTTGGTCTTAGATGGTTTTTGTAGCAACAGCTTTTGCGCCTGTGTGAGACCAGCCATATGGTGGAACGTGCTTCCTCCTCGGAGTCGAGCAGCGAGTTTTGGGCAGCGACCCCTCGGGCGGCGCCGGTATAGAAGCTCGTTGTAGACCGGAAGGATAACTTCTTTCAGCGTGAAAGTTTTGCCGCTTCCTCCAGGTCCATGCGCAAAAATACGCGCCGCCATGTCCTGCGTCGGTTCATAAGCAACATCCAACTCCAAATCTATACTTACCACGACTAGCGTGATCGTTGTATAAATGAATTCGTATATACTTGGAGTGTTCTACGCAAGAATCATTGCGTCATCCCTACAATTGATGATGATGTCAAAATTTAGCTCCGTCGCCAAAATTGCACGCGCGCGCCGCGCGCGTGAATTTTGCAATCTACAATCCTTCTCCACCAAAGCCAACAACGGATCGAGTCGAGCGCGATCACCAAAGCAGTGAGCCCGACTCAAGAGCGCGGCTGTTCCTCATATTTCCGAGCATATTGCTTCGCGAATTCAGCCGAACGCTTGGTGCTGGCGCTGGAACTTGTTCCTCCTGGGCCGCTGGTTTTCACATTCAGTCTGTGAGCGAAGCCCAACACATCTTTTTGATCCACGTGCAGGTGAGGTTGGTACTGGAGCTCAGGTTTGATCGGGCAATCGTCCACATCAAGATCGGATCGATCTTCCACGTCGCCCACATCAGCCCTCGCTCCCAAATCGTCATCTTCGTCAGGAGTGACTTTGCTCTTGCGTCGGTCGGGGTCTCCTACGAGCTTCCGGCATCAAATCTAAATTAGCACTCACCTCTCGACTGACGACAGCCACATACTCTCCCGCGCTCAACAGGCGTGGATGCCACCCATAGTCGGCGCAGCGCGCCGAAGAATGCAAACCTAGAATTTCGACGCAAGCCCGGCAGAGTTTAATTTCCAATCACCGTGAGGGCGTGGTCTTCGTCCAGGACTACACCGACAAAACTCGCTCGCTGAGATGATGTAGTTCATACCCGACACGCTTTGGAGCACTCTGTTTCCCCGGACGGCGGCGCAGCTGTGTTGTCGTGGCCAAAGGTCGTTTCCGCCCAGTAAAACATTCCAACAAATATTGGAGCGCGCCGCTGGTGTTACCAGCTCCAAGAACTTTGTACTCCCTCACGGCAGGCGTGTCCTGGCAAAATTGAAGAAGTCGTATGAGAATTTCTTGATCTACCATCTCGTGAGTGATCGTGTAATCATTAGATGTTTCTAATCGCTACGCAAGTTACAGAGCTATCAGTCATCGAAACACATTCACACCGAGGGTCAAATTAAAAGTCCTCGCTATAGGTCGGACCAGGCACGGTGTGACAGCGCTTCTCTCGTAACAGTTTTGCCTGCAGTATGCGCAGTGAGTTACTACATTCATCAGAATCGTTTGAGATTATAGGACCTGTATCGAAATATGAGGGGACGTTCCAGCTAAGCATCTATCAAATCGAATTAAAACACTAGATATATCTGAGCAAAGATGGATCAGCATAACCCGCTTCGAGAAAACGTTCCAGCGACGAGCCACACATAACGAAATCATGTCCGAGTCACGTCAGCACGCGCAGCCAACGTTTGCGTCTCGGCTTCTGTTGCTCGCCATTCTCCTAAGACGCCAGTCTTATCGAGCAGCGCGCGCACATCCCCGCCCTGCACCAGGACGCGCTTTCGCAGAGAGACAGGGATTTTGCGAATGTGCTTCGCAGCTTGCGCTTTGCCACAACGCAGTGCGCTGTCGCAGTGATGTTTGCGCAGGAGTGCGCAATGGACCGCAGCCCGCATCTCTCCGTTTTTCAATTTCGTAGACGTGCTCACACCATGTGAGTGGGGAACACGTGGTGCGGCGCGCAAGATTTGTACATACTGCTTGGCTTTCGAGTAGCGCGGTTCAAACGTTACCTCCATCACACCTCGCAACTTCACGATTCCCTGCCACACCTCAAAGCCCGGATAAAGTACTGCGCCTGCCACGAAAAGAGACAATATGTGATTTCGAGCCATTCTGAGCACACTCCCATCCACCAAAATCACCATTTCAGCTGAGACTTGTCACGAAAACAAAGCTTCGATCGCAAACCCCAATGGCACGGCCACATCCAACACCACTCTCCAAACGCTAATCCCAATGGAACTGTGCAGAAAACTGCGGATCTCACAAAACGCTGCGCCTGCGCAGTGAAATCGTTCTCCACACTTCAACGTCTTACATTTCCACACGATTCCTTGCTATTTCACACGAGTCTGACAAGTCACGTTTCCATCCAAAACCCTCTCCAAAAGCTTCCCCCAATGGCAGCGCCTTAGCGCTCTACCGCGAACGGTTGCGGACGGTTGCGAACGCTGAGACAACGTGTCGCATTCGGGAAAAAATGGCCAAGATGTCGCGAAGTACATCCCGCCACTTGGAACCTACACCTGGCTTTTGCCAAAAGGTGCTCCGCGACCACGTGAAACTCTGCCTGAACCCGATGAAGAAGAAGGCCAGGAACAGGCGGAAGAAGCGGAAGCAGAAGTTGAAGAAGTCCAGGACGAAGAAGAAGTAGCTCAGGAAGAGGAAGCTGCAGATGAAGAAGAGAAAGGTCGAGAAGAGGTGGATGATGAGCCTTAAAAGGAGATCTTGTCTGCGATCCAGCAGATGCATATCCGGCTACGCACATGGCTACCACGTCTCACGACTTCATACTGATCTTGGAGGTGAATTTCAAGGCCGCTCGTTGGAGCAGTCAGGTCGATCCCGGGACATCCAGCTCACCACCACCGCCGGTGTCAAAAAACGCGATGATCAAAGAAAAAAGAAAAGGAAGGAAAGACCTCGGCTCCAATCGTCAATGGCAGCGCCCTTCAACTGGCTGTTTTGTTGGCCATTTTGTCAAAAGCTAAAGCCCAGGGTGAGGGAGACGAAGGACCCCTCGAGCTATGTTCATTCCTGTGCACGAAGGCCCGAAGGCTGCTGCCATTCCAAAGGCTGCCATTCCGAAGGCTGCTGCTGCTGCCTCATTCTTGCTTCCGACGCTTGCCATTCGAAGGCTGCTGGCCTCCGGCGCCAAGCCCACCTCGCTTCTACAGTTCGGAGTCATCGTCTCAAGGAAGCTCCATCACGGTCGACAATCAAGGCCGCGAGGTGAATCGGCAAAGCGCTCGATCCAAAGGAAAGGCTAAAGGAAAAGAAAAGGTGAAGGAAAAGGGTAAACGGCAGCCTCCAGCGACCTCCTAAGGGACCCCGCCTAGGACCTGCGGGGCCAATGGCCCGATCCAATTTGCTCGGGGCAATCAAGCCTGGTTGGCGCAATGGGTCGCTTCGCTATCGCATGAAGAGCGACAGCAGGCGGGTCTTCAGGAGCCAGCTGACTCCTCAAGAAAAAAGGAACCGCTGCACTGCCCCACAGAAAGAGACTACATGGGAACCAACGCCACCTACGCCGCGCCCTCGCAGCTGCAAAGGCATGTCTAAGGGTCTTTGATGGGAAGCAGCTGCAAAGGCATGTCTAAGGGTCTTTGATGGGATGGGGGTTTTCATCGTGAAGTGCGGCCAGAAGTACCATGTGTTCAGGAACTGCCAGACCCTGTCATCCTCCACACTGCCAGTGCGGCTTCACCATCGACGCGAGTCGAATGAGCCAAGTTGGCGTTGTGGATGGGGCGAGACATACCATCGTGATGCCCAACGGCTGCCTGGCTGCGCTACAGGCCCAGAGAAGAAGTACGACGTCTGCGCGCCCTGCGCGCAGGAGCTGAGGAACAGGGGGCTGAACATGTGAGTTGAAAGGATGGTGAACGAGGGATTGAGTTATAAGGCCATTTTGGCCAGCTGACATGGAATGGGCCTGGTTGGCCCACTACGGATGAAAACCGGAACGGCTGATGACCTGCTGGGATGGAAAGAGGGAAGGGTTCTTTTCTGCATTTGGTTTAGGTTGGAAGCTGCGCCAAGTTTTGACGCTCAGTGTTGTCAACACAGTGGAATGGGCATTGTTGACCTGTCACCACACGGCCTGGTTGGCCTTGCTGGAAACATAAAGAAAGCTGGGAACTGACAGTTGACGCCCTGTCAACCACAAAGGGGGTTTGAGCTGAAGGTTGATCGATGGGGGATTCCCTGCACGTGTGGGAAGAACGCTTCGGTGGGAGATCCCGTGTAGGGATGAGCCGGGAGATCAACCAGCACCGAAGCTGAAGCGGTCTTAAAAAGACTGGGGGGAGTGCTGATGTGACATGTGACTGTCATACACGTCCACCGCCTTTTTTCTCATGGAACTTGAAGGTTCCACTGAACTCTCGCGAAGACAAAACAAGACAGCAGAACTTCAGAGAATCAAGGAGTTCGAAGTGTTTGAGGGTTTCGGTTTGAAGGTTTGTCGTAATCTGGGCACTGGGCTATGCCCGACCAACACTTGGGCACCTCTGACTACTTCCGCAGCTGCAGTGACCTTGATACAATGGAACCTATATGCTTATTTTGGAATTCCAGCGTGAACTCACCCTCATGGACGCAATTCATGTGCAGCTATAATGGTTCCTCACCCGCTTTCCACCAAGTCCTTTTCTCCCCTTCTCTTCTTTGCGGCCCCTTCCTTTTCTATAGGCTGGCTGGGTGTATTGCAGGTTGCGCCGCACATACACGGCTTCGATTGTGTGTGTTCCCTACGCGCAATCCGTGAGGGAACACCACCATAATTCGCCGTCTATTTGCCGTTGATTCGGCACTCGCGCTCGGAAGCTTGAGCCTCTTCGCTTTCGTTTTTTCTTTTCTTCGTTTGTCTCTCCTCTTCTTGGTTCTTGTTTCTCTCGTTGGTCTCAAGGTTTTTTAGGTTGCAACGGTGGTTTTAAGGCGCATTTTTTCGTTCCTGCCTTTTCGTGTTTTTTCTCCGCCTTCCTTCTCTTCTAAGGGCTTGTCAGGCTAGCAGCTAGCTGGAGTTGCTATTGCTTTAGCATGTTTTTGGCTGGTGGCTGCTTTGTTCATATGTTTTCCAAAAGTTGTTGCCGTAGATATTCATTACAGTTTGATTTCGTTTTGTGCATGGGTTCATTTCGCGTTGTTTTGAGAAGGGTTGCTGTGGATTGATTGCAATAATATCTTTCCTCCAGGGGCGAGAGTCTTTTGGTGGCTTCCAATAATCTGTCCCCCACGCTTGCTTGCCTACATGTATTGGCTTGGGTCCCTGGTACCAAGTCAACTGGTATCATGTTAGGGCCTTCAGGTGTTTAGTGGAGCAATCATTGCCCGTGCCGAGCTTCGCCGCCCGTTTGATGCGCCCAGGAGATTTGAGATTTCTTGAATACATGTTTTTACTAGGAGACAGCGGAAGTTTGCAAGAAGGCGCCCTTCCTTGCAGGCAGTTTGTGTGTTTTCCGCAAAAGCAAAAGAGAGCGAGCTATTGTAGCAAACGACCAAGGCAACAACCAAGCCAGCCAGCCAACCATGCTACCTGCAGTACTGTATACAATGCATGTCCGTTGGGCAAGTTAAGTGGGGCTGGGCGGGCTGCTACAATGTCTTGACCTCGTGGGCGGTGTTGAGTTGGCCAGTCGTCCAAAGAGCTGAGAGCAGACGGCTGAGCTGGAAGCTTGCCAGCTGGCTGGCAATTTCTGGTTCGTTTGTAGCAGATCTTGGGTGGTGACATCAGGTGATTTGAGGCAGCGTAGTGATCTGGGGAATAGGGCGGCTCCTGATCAGGGAGGTGGTTTGTCGTGACTCATGATCATGGTGACTTTTGTTCCAGCGCGCGGTGATGCGGAGAAATGCTGTTGTGGCCTGCTCCCTGCACGAGTGCAATCATCACTTCCCCCAATACCTTCGCCAGCTGATGGAATCGAACTGCCAACCTAACACAATGAAAACCCCCATGAGGACAGACGACAGTCATTTGAAAACATAGCTTGTCCTGCTGACCTGCGGAGATGTGCTTCGTGGGATATTGTGCTTTTGGAAGTTGAAATAGATCAAACACAAAAAATTTTGACAGACTTCTTCCAAATGGCCCGCATTGCGCTGCCCGCGCGGCAGAGTGGCAGGATCTATTCATCCCATCGGCGGTTTGCGGAATTGGCAGCAGCAATTGGCAAGGCAGTTGCGTCCAGCGCGACCCTCGGATCAACCAAGCACACAATATCAGAAGCACACGACATCATGCTATATATAGTACAACTATGCACATATACATATATATATAACACACACATATATATATATATGTATTCACAAATGTGACTGATAGACGGAACCCTCAACACAACCTTGGACGACCATGTCCTTTACCTCAATGTCAACAGACAACGTAACAACCAAGGGCGCCCTGCACCTCAATGTAAAACAACCCAACAATGCGCCCTGCGCGCGCAACCAAGGATTCTCGCAGCCACCGCCGCACGTTTTCTGGAGCACGGCGCAGGCTCAATGTCGCAGACCCTCCCACCCACCTCTTGAGATGGATGGCGCGCACGGAAGCGCGCATGGAACGCTTTATCGTGTGACAGGGTATTACTCGATACACCGCTTTCTTTCTTTATTGCTGTCGAACATGTTGAAGGGATGGTGGGTGGAAGAAGAAGAAGAATCTTGTTCAAGCTTCGGCCTTTTTCTTCCCCGATCGTGTTCACACTATCTTCCGTGTCATCACTTCTCGAAGTCACCCCTAGACAGCACTTTCGAAATCGCCTTGGCTATTCAAGATGTGGGCTGGACATTCTTTGGACAACTTGGCTTTCCCAGATTCTCACGCAGCCAGTCTTAGGTCCATGCTCGCAAGAGCTGTATCAGTTGTGACGTCCCTGTGTGTTAGTTACTGATTATATACATTCGACCTTGACTCGCGCACAACGGCAAGGTCAAAGAAAAGAATTGTTGGAACAAGCGCATTGGCCCTTTACTACAGTAGCACTTTGCGGAAAGATGAGGGTAACGGCATGGTCAACAGTTCAACCAGAGGGAAAATTACAGTAGAATTACGCAGATACGAACAGAGAGCGTCCTCTCTGAATATCGCATCCAATCAACAGCCCCCCTGCTCGTGAACTGTACAGGATAATGAATTGGTGCGCGTTAAGATGAGTTCCGTAGTGTGGTCAAAATCCTTCGGAGTTGGCGCGCGCAAAAAGCCGTCATTCGGCCCTATTAGAAAACTCTGACGTGGGGACATGTGTGGCGTCTTAAGAGGCATGTGGTACGGCAAGCAAGGGGTCACATGTTCGGAATGCAACAGGGTAGGTAGGACGGATCAACAAAGCTTTTTGCCACGGAGCCGCATACATTATGCCAAGTTGTGCCCCTTTTGGGCTTGGAGTTATGCTAATTGATCAAAATCCACTGGCTTGCGACTTCGTTCTTTCATTGAACTTGTTTTTTTTGCCAGTTTTCTCCTCATCGCTTGTGATGAATGGCAGAGAATTTTGCTCCTCATCGCTTGTGATGGATGGCAGAATTTTGCTCATCATCGCTTGTGATGGATGGCAGAATTTTGCTCCTCATCGCTTGTGATGGATGGCAGAATTTTGCTCATCATCGCTTGTGATGGATGGCAGAATTTTGCTCATCATCGCTTGTGATGAATGGCATGCAGAATGCTGTGCGTGCGTGTGTGTGTGTGTGTGTATATTGTGGTCAGTGTGAAAGACTGGTATGTTTTCACTGATGGTGCGAAGTTGGTTGACACCAAAATTTGGACACTGATTTCACTGATGGTGCGAAGTTGGTTGATGAAAAAGGGGGCATTGATTTCACCGATGGTGCGGAAATTTGGACCGCTGGTAAGGTTTGTTTGAACATTTGATAACCTTAAGCTCGTTCTTTAAACCGAGTGGTATGATCACTGATATGTGAAGTGGTCTAAATTGGTGTTGGTGACGGTCACCCCTGAAACCAAGGTCCAGATAGCTAATATTAATGAGAATTTGAGATTGCAGTTGGTTCGCGGGACTCGGACTGTGATTGGGTGACGGGCGCGTGTGTGATGCAACACTATTCAGGCTTGTGTCTGCTATGCCGTTGTAACTAGCAGTGGAGGCGCCGATATTGTCGATTCGAGCCGAGTGTGCGGCTGTCCGTTTTGCAAGAAACAGGCAAGGGCAGGGCAAATGTTGTCCTTTGTAAAGTTTGTTTGTGAAAGAGAAGTCTCCGTGGAGCCGCCGCCGGGCAGCCATTTTGAAGCCGTTTTTGGGCTGGCCGAAACGCCTGCAGTTGCGTTCCTGGCTTTCCATGGGGCCACAGCTGAGAAAGCGACCAGCCATGAAGCGACCTGCGTCTAGCCTGGCCGGCAGCAAAGTCGCTTGCTGAATCCGAATTTGAGGAGACTTCGTCGACTTGTAGGAGCAAGTTTTGCATTTGTTTGGCTTATTTTTGTGTCAGATGGACAAAAATCGTCGAAAACCTGTTGAAACATTCCGAGTTTGGAGCCCTGACATGTGGTCTGAAACACATGTATCGTCTATATAAGCCTTTTTGTGGGTTGGAAGATTGATTCAGATTTGGTCTTCTAAAAGTTTGCAGATAGCATTTTGAAGAAGGTTTGTTTGCATCTGAGGGAAGTGGCACCCCGCACTCTTGAAGATGCCGAGATTTTGCAAGAGTCTGACAGCGATGAGCCGCAGGTGGATGGCGCCTGCGACCTGCATCCGTGCATCATGGAGAAGCCAGGGGTGGGAAGTTATTGAAATATATTGAAATATTCTTATTCAAACTCATGCCACCATGTCACTGGCCCACAGCCTTCTCCAGGGTAACACTTTGATTCCAAACGCCCCAAGGACCACAAACCCAAGTTGTTTTCAAGTTGGTGATGGAGGGCCCTTTGTGTGGTGCCCTGAGGTTATGAACTTTGTGGCAGCGACTTACGCGCCTTGCAGGATGCAGCTAGTGTCACGGGCCAGAGTACCATTACGGCTGCCAGTATCTGCACAGGGTGGGGCGCTGGTGACATGGTGCTGAAATGCATCAACAAGATGCTAGACGCGTTGCAGGCAGAGTGTCCCAAGGCGGGGTCGGGGGAAGAGTGAAAGAGGATTGGCAGTGAGCGGGCAAGGTTTGGAAAGCCGTGTCCAAGGTCGAGACGGGTGAAAACATTTCCAAGCAGTCAACACATAGTCCGGTTTGGCAAGAGCCTGCTAATCCCAATGGGCTAACTGTCAAAGGCTTCTCTAAAGATTTGCCGGTGCTTTTTTTGCAGCCTACCCGCATCAAGGCAACGTGGAGACTAGTAACAACGTGTAACAACAATGACAGCATGTCGCAATCAGACTTTAAACTTTAAACGCAACTTTTCCAACTTTTTTGGACAACATGGTCCGAGTATACAAATCTGGATGAAGCTTTCTGTTTGCGCGCCGAACTTTCACATGCATGGGGAAGAAGGGCCAGGGTCGCAAAGCGAATGGCCATGATGCCTCCCATCGTTTGAGCGTGTCAGCTCTTCTCCGCCGTCCTTGTTCTTGCCAGCGAGCGAGTTTTTTCAAGCAGTTTGGGGGCTTGGAGGAAGAGGTTCAGCGTGCTAGGGAACACTTTCAGTCCTTGTCTCCGGAGAAGAAGGACAGACAGATTTCCTGACATTGTTTTGTCATGTTTGAGTACCTCTGTTAGGGTGAAGTAAGTTCTTTGGTGTGTTCAGTGCGAAGCGCCTGGTAGGAAAGCTGGTTGGCTTTGCATTTCCATTGCCATGATCCATGTCAAATGGATTCGGTTGACATTTGCGCTTCCGATGCTGGAGAATTTCATCGGAGTAGCAGCAGTGGTTCCATCTTCCAGGAAACTGATGATGAGTTTTATGGTGAGGGTCCTGCAGCAGAGGATGCCTTCTTGGAGTCAGAGTCTGGCGCCGACAAAGTTGATGAGAACTTGTTTTTTGAGACTGACTCAGATGGCGCAGAACAACCGCCTCGCAAACGCACGCGGTATAACCGCAGAAATCTTGAAGCAGCTTGTTTCTTGGGCCAGGCAGTGTGCAGATCTGCCTTGGCCCGGCTGGTGGCCGTGGGATCTTCGACATTGCACATAGTGTGCCCCGCTCGAACTCGAACTCGAACTCGAACTCGAACTGAAACCTGGAGATGCATTTGTAATCGATAGTTTTGCGAAATGGAGATTTGT